CAGAAGGCTGGCAGTTCAAACCCACCAGCCACTCCTCAGAAGGAAGGTTGGGCAATCTACTTCCATAGTGATACTGCCTCAGAAACCCAAGGAGTGGTCACTATGAGTTGGGGCCGACTTGACGGCACATAGCAACAACAGCCTTGACATCTGGAGCCCATATTTACAAGGCAGCTGCCTGAGAAACAGGAAGGATATAAGGGTGCCATTCTGGGTCCGAGGGAAAGGGACCCACGAAGCTCTCACACTGCTCCAGGGAGGCAGCTAGGCCCTCAACTAGGTGCTAAGCTGGGATCAGAGATGACTGTGATGGGCAGGTGTCGCCAGGGCAGGGACCGCTGCCCTGTGTCTGCAACTTGGAAGCTACAGGCAGGAAGAGCCCTGACACTGAGAGGGGGCACCTGCATCCCCTGGACACACACATGTAACTGGTGTGCAGGCGAAGGGTGACCTCACCAGGCTTGCCCAAGAGCACGCACAGCTGAGGACAAGCAGAAGGTGGGGGACTGAGGTTTATGCAAGGCACTGCCTCCTCCCTGAGCCAAAAACAGAATGCTCCCTCATCCCTAGCTCTCTCTGGTCTCTGTGTCCTTGCCACACCTCAGCGAGGCCCTGTCCCCCACTTTCACTCCCTCAGCCCCACACAGGAGTGTTGACAGTTGCAGACATCTAAAAGGACAACCCAGACAGTCCTTCACATCAGACCAGGGTTTAACGACTTCTCGAGTTCTTTCCCCTTTGTCATCCTCGGACCCTCACAACAGCCCTGTGAGGTAGGCCAGGGCTGCTCCCCCATTCTACACACGGCGAAGCTGGGACTCTGAGGAGGGAAGCAACCTGGAGCCCAGACTATCCCGACGCCTCCTGCAGGTCTGCCGTGGTCAGACCCGTCAGAGCGTGGCCTGTGGGTCTGGTGCTTGACTGGTTCTGGTAAGGACACGAGACATCTCTGCCTGAAGGAACACTGGTTCCCAGCACCAGGAGCTCCCACAGCCTCCAATTACGGCCTCCTGACGTCCAGCTGTGTCCAGGGCAGGGGCAGCCTCTGGAGGTGGTGAAGATGAGGGCACTGGCGCTTCCGTGGCTGACCAAGCCCTGGCCTGGCCGCCGGGAGAAAGCCCAGCCTTGGGTTGGTCCTGCCCCGGGGTCCTGAAGGTTATCCCCTGGCTGCAGCTGCTGCCTCCGTGGGATCACGTGCACTATTACACAGTCATAAGCTCTCACACGTGCGCGCACACACGCATGCACACATGAAACGTGGACACACCCACAAACCACATCCAGATCACTACACAAGTTATCTAAACATGGTCTCACTCAGCACCACCCTAGGTGCGTGTGTGCACACACACATACACACACACCTATCCTAGGCTCACACACTCCTGAACATAGCATGTGCTGACCCACACATGCCCCTCTCATACAGCCATACAGCACAACCACACACCTGCCGAGACGAAACCCAATGGGGCGGATGGAGATCTCCAAACCCCGCCAGGCCCTGCTCTGCTTCCCTGAGTTGCCCCCATTTCCTCAGACTGTGATGGGGCAGAGGCCAGAGCCGCCAGCAAAAAGGCCACTTCCCCAGCAGGTGTTGTGAGCTTGAAACAGCTCCACAAGGCCCAGAGGAGGCGACCCACTTCCTCACAGGATCCTTGGGTCTCCAGGTAGAAATCACAGCTGAGGACTTCATGGACAGCAGCCAAGCCAGGCCTAGATGAGTCTCTCCTCCGGCGGCACCTTGAGGACACTGTCCATCTCTAGCCGGGCCCCGGCCACCTCCTGCTGGCTTGGACTGTAGGTGCCCTCTGACTGGCGGCGCTTTCTGGCTGCCAAGATCCCTGACAGGAGGCCCAGGAGGAGGAGGAGAAGGCAGGCGCAGGCTGCAGGCACGGCCACCTCCAGCAATGGGAAAGGCTGTGGCAGGGGCAGGCCCTTCTGCAAGAGACAAAACATTGAGGCCTGCTCCACTGCCGCTGGGGAAGCCACTCTGGGAGTATAGTGTGGATGAGGGATGGGGGCCCCTGGCGCTCTCCCTGAGGGAGATGCTCCCACACAATCAACAGAAAGAAGAAAGGGGCACGTGAGGACGTTCTCAGAGAAAGTCAGAGCCGGGAGCAGGCTTTACCTAGCCCCAGAGGTATGCAAGCAGGTGCTGGGGAAAGGTTCTGGCTAGGACAGAACACTGAACACCGAGACTGAGCAGAGCACCGCGTGTGGGATCCCCATCCACCTCACTACAGCCTCAGGAAGCAGACAGGAGCTCCCCAGGCCGACGCACTGCTCAGCTAGCTGTATCCCAGTGCCCGGAGCAGCGCCTGTGTAGCAGGCACTCGATATGAGTGAGTAAACAGGCTTAGCCCACACTGCCCCAGACCCGTGACTAGTGAGCTGGCAAACCTTGACTGGTACCCTCCTCTGTCAGCGAAGGCCAGGCCATGTGCTACAGCCTGGAACTCCCCGGAGGCCCTCCTCTCCCTCCTTGGCCGCCTCCTCCCCACAATGAGCTCATCCAACCTGAGGCCGCTTAACCCCTCCCCCACCCTAGAGGTCCGGTTTTTTGAAGTGTCTGTGGAGACTATGGGAGCTCTGGTAGCGTAGTGGCTAAGGTATTTGACTGCTAACCAGAATGCTGGTGGTTCAAACCCACCAGCCATTCCTCGGAAGGAAGATGGGGCAATCTACTTTCGTAGTGATACTGCCTCGGAAACCCAAGGAGGGGTCACTGTGAGTCGGGTCCGACTCGACAGCACATAACAACAACAACAGCGGAGACTATGCTTAAACTCTGGGAGGAAGGGGCATTTCAAGCAGCAGCTGAAGGCCCGGGCAGGGCAGGAATAGGAGCAGAGAACAGAATCCCCCAAAAGCCACCTCCCAAGGGGCTGCTCCGACACAGTTGCAGCCGATCACCTGCGCTTGTTTCTGGGACACTCAGGCCAGGCCATGGGAGCCCAGCAAACCTCCCCATCCTCCTCCCCCATCTCCAATCACAGCCACCCAGGATGCCCTCATCATAGATGCTGCGTTCATTACTGGGTACCACTGAGTCAATTCCAACCCCACCATGACAGAGGAGGCTGCCCCCTAGGGTTTTCTTAGCTGTAATCGTTAGGAGAGCACATAGTCAGGTCTCTCCTGAGTTCAAACCATCCACTTTTGGGTTAGCAGCAAGCACTTTTTGGGCCACCAGGCGGGGCTCCTTATCAAAGGTGTTACACGCCTGGAATTCTGAAGTCCTGGGATCATAGAATTCCAGGATGCCAGATCACAGGGCCTCAGACTCACCCCCCTCCTCCCTCTGAGGCGTGAGGCTTCTCAGCCCACCATGAATGGGCCCCAAACCCCAGCTCCCAGCCCCCAGGAAGAGGTCCCAAGACCAGAGAGAAACTGCTATCCCAGCCATAAGTGGGTCTTCACCTGCCCAACTGGTGCTGGGCGCTTGTGGGGAGCTGCAAAGCCATTTCCTCCTCCTAGGCAAGGAGGACGGCTGGGGGAGCCAGAGGCTATAAAAGTTCAACTTGAAAGGAAACACTCCCCAGAAGCACAGTGGATTTGTGGGTTTATGACCCGAGCTGCCAGCAGCCTGCAGAGATCAAGGCTCCTCCACAGGCCTCCCTTCCCGCTGCCCCTCCTCCACTGGCACCCACTGTAGGCTCGGTGCCTGCTGGGCCTGCAGGTCTGCTGGCCCCCTTGGAGGGGAGAGAGGGGGGTTCAGCTCCAACCCACCCCAGCACCTCAGCATCGGAGCCTCCCTGGGGCAGGCGCTGCCTTCACACAGCCAAGCCCGCCCTGGCTCAGCACTCTGGGCACCCTGGATCTTCCTGCTCCAGAACCCTGGCTCAGAAACCCCTAAAGGTTATGGGCTCCCAGACTCACCAAGCTACATCCCCAAACTCCAGAATCCTGTGGGCCCTGAATCCTGGCCCCAGATTGGAGGTGACTGAGCCCACCTGCTCCCACTGCCCCTGGGGAAGCCTCTCTAGGAGTATTATTGTGTGGATGAGAGATGGAGGGATAGGGGCCCCTGGGGATCTCCCTGAAGTGGAAAATACATTGGCCAGGTCATGGAAGGGGACCGAGTCTCCTTTCCCTGCCACTCCCCACCCCACAACAAAGGCAGTCCAGGAACAGTTCCAACATCACCTCTAAAGTCCAGGAAAGGGACCCCACGCCCGCCCCGCTGACATCACTCACCACCACTTCACAGAACTGGCCCGAGAAGGTGGTACTGCATATACATTCAGGCTCGCCACCAGCTGCCCTGCAGGTGCCCCCATTCAAACAGGGGTTGGCTTCACAGGGGAGGGTGGGGATCTGACACCTGAGGAGAGAGGGAGTGCGGTGGAGCTGAGCAAACAGCTCCCTCCACAGCTGCCTCCGGGCCCCCAATCCTCCTGTCTCCATGCACTGTCCCTGCCTGGCTGGACACTGCCAGGTGACGAGAATAGAGAGTGATCAGCATCACCCACCACTTCCCTTCACCCCAGCATCATGACACAGAATGACCCTCGTGCCCTCAGATTCACATCACAGGTAGCCCCAGTAGAGACAGGGTCCCACGGACGGGGGTTCTGTTGTCTAGAGTGGGTTCAGAACCCGAACTTCTGCTGTCTCTCCAGGTGGTCTTGCGCATAAGGATGGGACTTTTAAACCACTACTGGGGCAACTACTTCCCAGGAGGCATCTGCATAACAGTGGCTGCTTGGAAGCCCCAGAAGGAAAGACCTCCAGTGATGACTGAGTGGACCGTCTGGTACAGTGGTGACACTAAAGGATGAGAGCGGAGAGCAGGGACCAAACCACCTCCCACTTCCCCTGCTTTGGATGGAGGGACCCAGGGCCCAATCCTGCCTGCCCACTTCAGCACATTCACTAGCCCCGACTCCCAGACCCACCTCCGGCCAGCAAAGCCCTCCTGGCAGCTGCAGTTGGCGCCCCAGGGCCCCACTTCACACCGACCACCATTGAGGCAGGGGAAGTTCAGGCCGCATTCTTCTGGCAAGACGGGCAACCTGGGGGGAAAGCACAGGAGCTGGACTCAAGGCAGGTCCCTTGGAACCTGCCCCTCCCCCGCCCCCACTGTGACTTCAAGTGACTGAGCCTCAATGGGCGTATTAGTGGAATTCAGAGCCCTCCTCCTACAGACTTTGATACCAGTCTCACCGGGGTCGGTCTGCAGGCGGAGGGGTAGGACACAGGGCACCTACTCCGCTGCTCCAGCCCCACCCACAACAGGTTATACAACCTCTAGACAAGGGGCTGTGAACCTTTTCCAGTTGCTAGAGTCCTTCGAGAAGCTGCTAAAATGGAAGAACTCCCCTCAGAACCAAAGCATAGTCCTCAACATAAAACTTGGACCTGACATTCCTGCCGGGGAGGAGAGGAAGTCGGAGCAGACGGTCGAAGGGCAACATCATGTGCCCAGCAGGGCGGAATAAGGGCCATGGCCAAGGTCGGACCAGCTCACTCTCGGTCGCGCGTGAGTATCAACGCTGGAGCTCTACAGGAAAGCCTCCAGGTTTTCTTCCAAGACCAGTTCCGGGTCCCCTCCTGGGCCACCGTGCTGTTTATTTGACATTCAAATTTAACTGGGCGTCCTGCACTTTACCTAGCAACTCAGGGAGGTGGGGTTCACACCTGTCCCCATTTCACAGATGAGAGCACGCACGGTCAGTGAACGGAAGCGACTCCGCCAAAAGCGGAGAGCCTGCAGTGAGCCTCACAAGGCTTCCCCACCCCCGCGTGGCCTGCGGGGCCCTCCCGTCCGGGGCTCCGCCTCTTGGCGCCCCAGCCCCGGTACCTGGGAAGAAAGCA